GGAAGGATTGGTCCACTCAAGAAGATATCTACAAAACAGTCATGTGGTCGAGGCGACATGATTTATGTATGATTAAGAGGTTAAACGAAATAATTGAACCATTCAAATTCAAGCGGAAGAAGATATATCAGTTTATAGAAACTATGACACCTCTCCAAAATAGCGTAGTAATGCTTGTGAGTGAGTAATAACTATTTGCGGCCAAGGCATTAACGTTAAAAGTTTGATAATTTGGGTTTGCTCAAGGTAAATGTAGCAAATCATAAGAACGACATATATTCTTATAGTGAAGGTGAAAAATTCTCAGGGGGATCGTGGTCCGAGTGTCTGTGATGCTCGTTATGGTGCGGCGCGGGGGCTGATCTCCCATTCGCCACCACCAGCACACTGGTCCGGCGGTCAACAACGAACGTCCTGTGGAACGCCACAGCCAGGCTATCCTCGAGAATGCAAGAAAGCGTCCTCAACCAATACTCTACGACGTTCATTTTTTGATTCAACTGTAGTAGCATCTCAACTTTTCAGATACAACGATGGAGTACTTTTGTGACGAATTTGTTATTCGATTACATAGGCAGGTGTTCAAAGGAAGAAATACCGTCCGTACTGTTTGACACGTATGACATCGCATTTGAGATAAATCTATCAAATTTAACAGCAGATTAAATCTTCATCATGTTGGAGAAGAAATAAAAAGTACGAAAGACTCAATCATAGACACGAAAAAACTTTGATAGACTTCACTTTTACTTAACTTCAAGGAGTTCAGAGCACTTTATTATCGATTTTTTATAGGAACAACTTGGTTATCCTTCATTTCCTCTTATTTGCTCGGCCTTTTCTAGTACATCTTCCGTATACACTTATTTTTAAGAACTCTCTGCTAGAATACTAGTTTCTTTAGCACAATCAGTTACTGATTGATGACGATTCTTGGTAAAAAAAAAAATGTAGACGTACCGCATTGCTGGATCTTGACGAACATTGCTATTCACCGAATCAGTACCATCCTGAGAGAATGGCATTCGATTGCAGATGATAATTGCCGGCAACGAAAGTGGTGACCCATCAACACTAAAAATTAGAATACATAACTCAAAATTGCTTGATAATAAACCATATGCATCTGCAAATTATCAGTCTAGTCATGAATGAGATTCCAAGCATAGAACTTGGGTTTTGCATGAGGTGTTCATTTAGTTATAAACCAAGAGATGGTGGTAGGGCCATATCCCAATGTTACTAGAACATTCTCCAACAAAAAAAAATAACAGTGCGAAAGATATCATGGAGAACACTATATATATACATTTATTCATATATATATTATATATATATATTATATATATATACTCTGCCGTTTTGCTGATAGTCGAGTGACTCGATCCATCAGAAAAATGCAGAGACGAGAGTGATATTAGAAGAACTTCCGTTTTGCCCTATCGTGTGCAAGAATAGCTCGGGTGTCCTGCCATTTTTGAGAATCATCGAGCATCATCCCTCTTCTAGGCCTTTCATGAAGAAACCGGACATCAGGTTGGTCGCCTTCGTGCTGTACGTTGACTTCTTACTTCGCCATTACCATGGTTAAGGAGGAAAAACAAATCATGAACCTTTGAATAAATGCATAACTTAGAATAAAATTTACGTTTGAGTTTGTTCCTTTTCAGTGTTATCCGTGATTTTAAAGATAAAATAGAGTGATTGAAGGAAGAATAATACTGCACATATAGCAGCTATAGAAACAAGTACAAGTGTGTTGCAGATTGCCTTGCAAATCATTACTAAAATACTGTTTATGAAATAATTTCTAAAATGATTTTAAATCGACAGAATGTCACACACAACAACGACGTTTTAGTAGAGTACTTGTGGGAGATTCTGACCGACAGAAATCTTTCGAGATAATATAGTTCAATCAGGAGGTGTAATAACTCCAGAAATATTACAGTCATATAAAATTAAAATCTAAGGCTAACAAGGATCGAATTAGTGTAATAGACTAGGAGACTTTTAGAAAAAAATGAGAGCGTGGATATGAGAATTGAAAAGGATGTGAAATTGGATATGCTCAATTCATCTTTACTATAAGAAACTATTTTAGAACGATGGACAAGATGTTTCGAAATATTAAAGTAGAAAAGGAGATACGAGATAACGTAGAAGAGATTAGAAAATTGAACTTCAAGCTAATTATAGGTAGGCAAGCATGATGGCACTGATTTGCGTGTATTTCGACGTTGTGCCAATTCTCAAATTTTTGACATAATAAATGAATAATTCAGTCTGAATATTAACTCAGTAGCTTTTTTTCGAATGTTTATGCAGTCCCTCTACTGAGGTTTTTTCATTTGCGAGTGATCTTCAATTTGAAATTCGTAGCTTTTTTTGGTCTGAAGAGACTATCGAAAGGTGACAATCATCAATGAACTTGATTAATTACATCCGATTTTCAAATGGTAAGCCGAACAAGGGCATTGCGACTATTCGCTTCAAGTTGTTTACTTTGATAGTCACTGTAACCGTAGTAACCGTAGTAGTTGATCGTTGGAACGTCGAACGAATTATCTAACTGAGCTGCAAGCCCCGGTTGATTATCATGAGATCTTGAAATGATTTCCACCCATGTGAAATCATCTTGGGTTGATTAGCTCTGAACTCCATAGACACATTTCTACTAATGAACACCCATTCAATATTCACTTTTAATTCCTCTATTTATCTCAATATCAAAGATGTTGTTTACATAACTACATAGTAAATACAGTTACATACGTTTGTACCTGACGTTGAATCTATGTATAATGATATGTACTTTTTCAATTTTTTTTACACAACCGATAATCATTGTCTACTGCGCAGATCTCAGGACTTCTTGTACTTAATTTATTTTCTGACATTCTTCCTCTACAAAGGTTTTCAAGTAATTCACGTACTGCTTAGCTTGCCGCTTGTGGATTTCCTTTTCTTTACTGATGTCATGAAAAAAGAGTCAAGGCGATTCTCTTTGAAACCTGGATGTAGGCGAGTTAAGGGATTCACTGATTGATCCTTAGAGGGTGTTGGGGAGAGGAATGAATTATTCTGCTTATCACCTGGCTTCCTAATTCGCTACTTTATTAGCTACGTCACCCCGCTTCCATACTTCTCAAGCAGCTAATTTTTGTGAAACCTGAATGTGTAATCTTTTTTACGGTGAGTTTCCTACAAAGATTATCCAAAAATGCAATCGTAAACGTTGCTCTAATACTATTCAATAACATAGAATGGTTACAATATTATAGAATGATTGGATGAGATTAAGAATGAAGAAGGCACGTGAAGTGTCCAGATACTAATGAACAAATTTTCCCAAAATTGGAGATCCTCTTCATGAATATTCAAAAATGAAGTTTGAATTTTGTTCTTTCGTTCATGATTTGAATAAAGTTGTTAATGAATTTATGCCTAATTTTTATTGTGTATTGCTTTTCCGATACTATGCTATTGCTTGACCAAAAGCTATTGTGCTGCTGCAAATTTTTAAAATTATTCAATTGTTACATTGCTAGTATTCCGACATACTGTATTCTTTTGAAGAAAAAAAAAACATGAAGTCGACTGTAGTGAGAGATGTGTCGGACCACACGCATTTACTGAAAAATAGTCGACTTGAACTGATGGCGGCATAATTCAATTCAAGTAGAACTTTATAACTACTCAGCGTTCTTTTCTGTTGAACGGCGGAAAATGAATATTCAAGCCCATTTGATGAACGACAATTTCTCATAAGAATGTTACTAATCATTGGGAAGCTCAAATCTTTGGCTAGACTCTTACATGGTCGATTTTCTAAAACACCCTTTTGTAACGGTGTAAAACCCAAGGTCGACTTGTGTTTCACACCCACCGCGCGCCTTCATGTTTATCACGCGTATAATTGGCTAGAAATACGAAAAGCATATGAAGGTGTAGATAAATATGTAGTGTCTAAATCAATTACTTTGTCCGAAATTTTTCGAAGCGGAAATAAAACTCCCATTTTAATAATAACTTGCATCCCACATGTCTTAGCTTTAGGCCATCGATCGATTGCCCGCTGCAACGCTTAGATTAGCCGGCAAACAAGTTCACTGAATATGCGAAACTCAGTTTTACTTCTCCTACTACACTACAATGAGACGGTATTTCCCAAAAAATAAGCATGTTGGAATCACTAAAATTGCTATCGTTTGATTATTCTGATCATGATTTCAAGAAAGAGCTCTGTTCGGCGATGTGTAAAACACAAATGTTTTTTTTTCTTCTACAACGCTACTAACTTTTCAAAATGAAACACTTTTGTGTTCCTTGTGACCTGTGCTGTCGAAAGAGATCTAGCAGTCTGAGAAGGAGTTTTATCCAGCGAAATATAAACAAGGTAATAAAACGCGTAGTATTGTGCAATATAATTCTATTTTGAATTTTACACCGTCATGAAAGGGTGTTTCAAAAAACCGACCACGTAGGCGTCTAGCCAGAGATTTGAGTTCTAGAATAATCAATACCATTCTTATGAAAAATTGCTGTTCAGCAATTTTTCATAGGAATATTATTAATCTTTTGTCGCCGTCTAGCAGAAAAGACCCTATTTACATTTACAGAATCTAAATAAAATGATAAACGTTCTTGCTTCAACAGGTTCACACCTTTTACGAAGAACAAACCTTATTTTCCCTCATATGGACAAAGTTTTATACAAAAACATTCCCATGATTCTCATAATTATTCCAGAAGCTCTCGAGTATTCTTCCAGTTTTTGAGTAAACCTAGTAGTACTATCACAAGAAATCTGCCATATAAGAAGATCACCTTCCGTTTAGGATTGTGATTCAAAAGGCAAAAAATTAACTTAGTTCAGGTAGTCTGTGATAAAGATATATGACCCATATGAAAAAAGAGAATACTGTAAAAAACCTGTCAAAGGTTGGTGGCTGATAGCTAACATTGAGATGTTGAAGAATGAGTGGTCAGGCAAATGTGCCTCAGTAGTGTAGTGGTAGAGCACGCGTCCCCGGATAGGATGAAACATGGGTTCGATTCCCGCCTGAGGCCGTGTTTTTGTTCACCACTCAATTCTCTTAGTTATATAAGTAATATAATAACACTGCGAAAAAAGCAGTGAAAATACTATAATTTTGAAAGAAGAGATTCATAAAATTGTGATGAGTGTTAGTTTTCTAATTTATATGTCACACTGTTTAACACTGCACGACAACGAAAAGAAGGAGAGCCTTACGGTAACACCTTTTCAGTTAACCCTCGTGTCATTCGTCGAAGTAATTGGGTTGTAAGCGTAATGCGTAAACCCCATTGTCAGTTTTTCTCATCCTTACTTGCGTGGATACTTGGACAAGCCGTTTTTATTTGCATGTGAGTATCGCCACCCTTCACAATGGCTTCATTCTACTGCACCGTGATCTGTGGTGTTGGGTATACCCACTTTCTCGTATGGCTTCTATTGCAGTCTGAAGATCTGAAAACCAGCTGCTATAATAGGTGGATTATGTACAATACATACTAAAAAACCAATCTTCTCGAGGGCTCTTCTAAGGTCATTTTGATTTTTTCGGGGTCCATCGCGGACTTCGTTTCTTGTGCATATTGCTTTCACTTTTTATCGTACTAATAGCCATCTGTTATTTGCTTTTTGACAAAAAATCCTCTGAGCGTCCAAAACCGTTCTAATCGGGAATTTGAAATGAAAATACCGGCAAGACATTGAGTGTGCTACTTCTTTTTTGTTTTCGTGCCCAGCCTGTTGACCATAATAGACATCGTTTATAAGCATCAAACCACGTTTCTTCGACATTGCAAGCAACTGGAGGAATTTTTGTGCCTAGTCAGTAATAAATTGGGAAGCACTGAGCAAATTCGTTGGTGAGACCTGAACGAAAGTGGCTCATGCTGTTTGTTACGCTCAAAACACCTTTTCTTTCAGCTCTGTTCGTGTTCACTGAGCTTCCTAACTATGTGCAGATGTGATCTCAATGTATTCACACAAGGTTATCTGCTCCTTTCATATCAGGTGTCGTTCTTGAGCTCGGTTTCCTAAAAGTTACAGAGAATTCCTTGTTTGCCTTGTTTGACTGGAATGGTCAACGATTGTCTCTATGTATCACATTAGCGAGGGAATGAGCAACCTCCCCGACATTGTTTCGACGTAGTCCCTTGCGCTCGTAATCTTGTAGCCTTATACGTAGGGCTCATTCAAAACGTTCAGTCATTACATTATGTAATAGCATACTGTAGCTAACCTCTACATCATAATACTTTGAGGGGCATTGAGCTTACCTATTGAAACTCTTTGTCTGCCATTACTCACTGACGTATTAAGTGCTAACCAAGCGTGATTTTCATTCGAAGCTCAAAATAGTTGTGCTAGGACATTCTTAGGTCGATGCCACGAGGTGTTCTTTGCCTTTAGGGACTGAGAGAAAATTTGTCAAGCCGTGCTGGGAAGTCTCCAGCACGATAACAGAGTCAGGTGTTGGCCTTTGTAGTCCAGAAGCAAATTCACTGGCTTACGATTTCTATGATGGCCGCGTTTTCTGAAAGTAGAATGACCAATAGATCTTCTTATGGGAGTTATTACTCAAGCAAGAACGTTTCTATTCGAAACATTTCGAAATAAAGAGCCAATTAGCATGGCTTGAAGAACGGCTTTTCTCTTTGTTATTTGAAGTCGATATCAGAAAACCCTAGGAGTTTTTTCAGTCAGCGTTCTCCATATTTATGCTACTATGAAAGTTTTGATCAGAGAATCTTTATTGTTATGTTAACTTCACTCTATATGAGGTAATCTATCGAAACAATAGCCGCTCTGACGTAGATGCTGTAATAGTCATCTCATGTCAGTTCATCAAAGAACACAGCAACTTACTAATGAATCTAAAGCTTAATTGGAACTTGGTTTTAGTGACCCTTTAGAAAAGTCCGTACATACTTGTAAAAGAAAAGAAGTGGAAGAAAATTTCATGGAAAAGGAATGAGAGAAAGGAAGAGGAACTGCTGAGAATAAGTAAACTATCTAGTAATGATCGCTGCGATATACGATGTCAATAGTGAGCTCTGAACAAAGCCGCCATTACGATTATAGCGATGTGAAGCAATCAACCAGTAACGAAATAACCGCCTATAGCCGCTTGACCAACGAACGGCCGCCGTCCTTAGTGTCGCTATAGAAACAAGTGTCTACGGCATGTTGCCAACAATTACCGTCAAAAATTCCCATGCTGGTCAGTTAGTAGTTATACCCCAGAGAGGTCAATAATCTTGAGGATAAAGAATTGCCTATTACTTGAGGATACGAAAGCTACTACAATCTTACATCGATTCAGAATTTGAATAATATTATTCTCGTAAATCCGTATTTAAACAATAAACTTAGAAATTCCAGAAACTCTACGAATAGAGATTGTGAAAATCTTGACTTTGGACGGTTCCAGTTATCGGAGCACAAAAATCACCCTTTAGCCAAATACTCTCATTATAAAAGGTGAACAGTCTATAACGATTGCCGAATGGTTGTAAATCTCGTGATTTGCATTTGAAGTTAACCAATATTCAATCAGAAATAATTTTGTTTGACCGCCACTTGCGGTGTCCTGATGTTAGAATATACACAATATGTAGAGTGCTCTGCAAAACACTCGCGTCAGACGGAATTCGAACCCAGATCCCATTTTTTCCGGGAGCCTATGCCAACCGTTTCACCACCGACGCTCGTTTCGCACAGCACTCTTGCTACGCTACAATGCGTTATCTCTCAACAGCCAACCGTCTACGGTGTGGCGGGGCCGTCACTATCGACGTTGAACCCATTTATTTTGACAGATATTGAGTATCAATAAACAAACAGAAATAATTTTATTTGACCGCCACTTACGGTATTTTTGCACAGCACTCTACATACTGAGTAAACGAATTTTTTTTGTACCCTTGCATAAGGAGCTGGTGTAGAAGGGGAGTAGCTGGAGAGTGATTAGTGCAGTGATTACCTCTATACAGTATACACTTTTGAAAAGAATTCACTAAACAGATCATTTTTGCTTTGTTCATTGAGAAGTATTATCATTGTCTGTATTAGCGATAGTCTTGTTAAGGTCTCCCCAATCGTATTGTCAAATTCTTGTTATAATTCAATCATATGCTTACAATTACTTCTGAATTTCATCACGAGCTACCACATTATTATTGTAGCTCGCGAGTCGGTCACGTGCGCGTTGTGCACGATTTCAACGTCGTCGTTAAGCGGTCAAGTACAGCACAGTAGAAATTCTACCTGAAAATTCATAAATCCATCTTTCTTTAATATGACTCCAAAAAGAAGCTTACAACACTCAAAGCAAGGCCTGATTAATTACTATATCGTGGATGTGGTCCCCAATCAATGCAAAAGAGGTGGTAAGTTCGACTTTTCAGAAAATTCGTCAAGTGAGTAGTGTTATTGGGCCATTTAACGGGCAGCTCATTCAAAATCACGATTCATGGGAGGTCGATTATCATTTCCAGAAATTTGGTTGGCGAAAGAAACCGTAGGTAAGAAAGAAAAAAGTGAGCAGTCTTGATTGCTCTTTTATGGAGCTGGACTATGGTTTACCAGAGGGTTTTCAGGTTTGTTTACTGATCTACCATTTTTATCAGCATTTTAGAACTGTAAGATGCCCATAATTAAACCATGTAGGTCGATTTTTGACTTTCACGCGATAATATGGAGATTAGCAAAGTTCTACAGCATTGATGACACAAGTGTTAGGTGATTTCCAAAACACGGAAGATAAGGACTTCAGAAAAACGTTTTTTTGGCTTTCCTGAAACTGAATTACATTTTTCAAAACGTGAAGGGAAAGCTTTGAAATTTAACTGACTAATTTGGCAATTTAAAGTCATAACACATCCACATTACCTAGGGAAGTATAGATCGAGAAATATTATAAGAGTCTTTGTTACCCTATGGAGGCGCAGCAAGAAAAATCAACGGCGGATTAAGACTTCATATTACTACGGTAAAGTCGCTGATTAAATGCCATTCTTTCCTTTCAATAACAGTAAACACGCCACAGCGTTTCACTAAAATTTTGAACATGCTAACTAAGAAAGGTGATGATTCTTTGCTTTCATGTGACGTTGACAACTATTTATTTTTCTTCATGCATCGGGACATAATCGTTGCAAACTATTGGTATTACTTCCGTTGATTATACAGGATTTAGTGAAGTCCCTACTAATTTTCCGCGTAGCACAGTTGCCCACAGCGTTCTCTTTCTCCAAGGATACAAAGATTACCATGATTATTGTTCAGGGTCTTCACTGAAGAGACCTGATCAGCAGTTTATAATTTGATTAACCTTTGCTTGATTTCCCCTCATTCCTCTGGACACAATGACTACTACGCCATAGTCCGGAAGTCCTCATCTTTGCTTTGCAGTATTCTTTGCGCCTTGCGTAGACTCGATAGAAATTACTATAATGATTGGTGCAGCTCTATGTAGATGAGCTTTAGATACGTTGTCTTGTGCCACATTCAAACTATTGCTTGACTTCTCAATGTGAAGGTGATAGACGAGTCGATATTAAACGTTTCCATCCTACATTTAATAGGTCCCATGTCTAACGATAACAGTAAAGCATTTCAAGCAATAAATACCATAATCTCAGCCAGATCGTAAAACGCAGAAAATAACTTTTCATCCTTTTTATCTCTTCGCTGCTGCTACATTAGCCATATATCGAAATGCAAAATTCTTTAGAAAAACAAACAGAGTAATCATTCGAGAGCTTAAATTCTCTGGCTAGCGCGGCACGTGCCCATTTTTTGAAAAATTCTTCATTAATAGTTTTCAGTCAAAGAAAAACATTTCTGTTTCACACACGCGTTTTTCTGGCAAGACAAAGTCTTTCTTTGGACTATTAGTAAACGTTCCAATTCAAAGATTCTAACGCTGTGCTTATTTTTCTGAAAAGGCCGTTTCTTTGCAGTGCCGCATGAAAAATAAGATTCATTCACATATGCGAGCATGGGTGTTTCGGCTATTCTACAAGGTGGGAGGCGA